CTAGCGTGTCTCCGACATAGTGATAACACTCGTTGCCTTCTCTAGTGCAGCTCAACCAGGTCTCGTCCCATTCGTCGATATTTGTGATATCACAAATCCCGGAAAATATGCGTTGTAGTCCAAACGAGTCGTTCGTTGTAGTTTTGGAAAAAAGATTTATTTTAAATAAAATATCTCCTTTTGAGGTGGACTTTGAGCTTTGGAACTTTGCAGATATTTTTTATGCTCAAACAGCAACATTACACATTAACTAAAGTTGAAAAAGTGCATAATAGGACCCCTTTAATTCAAATGTAAAATTTAAATGCTATCCTATTTTATTCATTTTATTTTGTTTTATTTATTTGTTTTAAGTAAAATAAACAGTACACATTTTATCAGCCAGTCTGGATTGGCATTGGTCTTTGAAAAACACATACTGGTCAACAACTAGTGTTTTTCACGAATACATTTCTGTGGCTGTGCTTGTGTTTGCTTTTGGTTAAGTGCTTTTTTATGGCTCTGCAATCAGTTGTTTGCTTTTATTCCAGTAGGTTCTGATTTCTATTGACCCAGTGAGCTATTATGACCCACCTATTATGAGAATGTCATTCAGAGTGGTGTTTGCTGTCATGCATGACCTGCAGCCCAACATTCTGAGAAGACAGACAATGTTGTTATGTTAGAGCTAAATTGCCCCACACCCAATTTCTTAATGCATTCATATTGACTTCATATAATATTATGCCTTGTAATTCAATTCACAGAGAGAAAGAGGATATAGATTAATTTCAACCCCTCTCTCTGAGATATTTTTTATTTAGAAACGTTATTTTTAGTCCTGGATGTCTGGGATGTGGTTCCTTCAAAGCCAGGTCAGAGGAATCTAGAGCAGATTCTTTCCTCACATGTCTATATCTCCCTCGACCCTTAAGGCCAGCAACTGTTGGCTGCCAGCAACTGGAACACAGTCAGTGAGGCTGAAATGTGTTGCTATGGCTGACATAACTCACACTTGTGCTGACTAACCCGTGGCAGATGACCAGCTCTTTAATGCAGAACATGGACAATAAATCAAAGCAATGCTCTATTAATTATACAGTGGCCCCCAAAAATATTGGGACAACTGAGCCACAGTTAAAAATGTATGAATTTCATTGCATAACAAAAAAATCAAAGCAAGTGACTTCTGCAAACAAATGATGCTGGAGTTTTTGTAGAATTATCTTCTTTTTAGCCATTTATTGCAGTGACTTAATGAATGAAGTTCCACCAATGTTTCAAAATGAGAAAATGTTGAAATGCCTTTAATAGTGAACAATGTATATCAAAACAAACTACTTTTTGTGAAATGTTTGAAAAGTGTACTTGTGCTTTCTTTCTTTAACATTAATGATACTTTTTTATGTTTTGTTATTTAATGCAATGATATTCATACATTTTTAAGTGTACTGTAACCAAAGTGTCCAATATTGAAGTCAAAGTGTCAAAGGGGCCCATATGAATTTACAAGTCACTTGTTTTATTATTTATATATAGGCTGCTGTATTCGTAAAAGTTGGTAACCGATAGGTAATACAGGTATGGGATGAATAGAGTTTACACTATTTGAGAAACTACATATATTAGTCTTATTTAGGAATATTTGTAATTTTACAAATTTGTCACATTTTTTAGTAGACTTGGCAAGAATGTAAAAAATTATACTATATTAGATAAAAATCACTGTATTGTACTGTACACTATATTATAATGGTAAAATTATTATAAATAAATTCTTATTCTTTCTTATTCTTTACCTGAAATATTGATTTTAATTTAAGAAAAAGTTAATTGTGTCTGCTAGTGTATATATATTTGATAAAGTATGCTTGCGTTGAAGTACAGTGTTAATTATTCACTAAAGCTGGTAAACACTGATCTTTTATTTATTTACAGTGTGCCAGTGATCTGAAAATGTGAATATTGGTATAAGTAAATAAATAATATTTACATTTCAGTTTTTTTTTGTAATAATGCAAGAATATGGTTAGCATATCATGACATATTGGCTCCATAAATAGAACGGGAGGCCATGATTATGGATAACCTCGACCCTAGAGTATGGTAAATATCATTAACATATTCCTAGTAGAATCCACATGACCTTTAAGTATAGCCTATTACATCGCTCTCCTCTCAGCCAATCAGATACGCTTGTGCTCTGAATTGAGTGCCACTAGGATGAGGCTGGGTCAGCGTCAGGGCCTCGACGGCGTCTCCTAGCAACAGGGCAAATGTGACGCCTTCAACGATTGGCAGCAAAGGCTTTGCATACTGCTTTGACTGAGCAGCCAGTCTATGCTCTCTGATAACACTACAGCGCCTAGAGTGAGTCATGTATTCAGCCACAGAGCAGATGTGAAGAAAACTCAATCTAGACTGCAAGGAAACAGCATCTGTTCTGAACTTAACCCGGCCTGTTTGTTTTAGGTGATAATGGCTCCTTTCTATGTTTATATGTGTGTGGTTTGTCATGATTATTTTTTAATGATCTCCACAGTGCTTATCCACATGCTCTCTCTGAATTTCTCTCTAGATTGAGAACATCGATGCCTGTCTGAGCTTCCTAGCAGCCAAAGGTGTGAACTTACAGGGACTTTCAGCTGAAGGTAAAAACACAGTTTTTAAAATGCTTATTTACAGTAAGATTTTATAAAAATTTTGATCTGGTTTTTCACACTTTCAATTATTAAGCCAGGGTTATTTTAACCTGGGTTATCTTGTTACAAGTTTCACACTGTTCATTCTTCACCCTAGGTTAGTAGTTTAACAATTTGGGTAGTCAGGTTTCAAGATTTTACATCTGTAAACCATTTGTCGATATTTATGTTTCTGGGTTATTTGCATATTTATGAGGTTAAAACTTTGATTGGACAAGAACAGCACACAATTTGTTTGCTTTTTTGAGTGCCTCTTTATCATTTAATGTGTTTTCCTTCACTTTTTTGTGATTTTTATGTTTCCCTCATATGGTGAAACTAAACAAAGTGCAGAAAAGTTTCTTTGACTGTACCAAGCACATTAATACTTAATGAAGCATGAGTTGTTTAGTATATCATTGGCTGTTTGTTGCAGAAAAAACTTTCAAACACCACATTTCAAACTTTGTCGCTACTGCACAAGCTGTAAATTTGTTTATACAGGGCTTTATATAATACATATTGTTTCAAAGCAGCTTCATATTAATAAACAGGAAAATAACAGGGTTAAATTTATAAAATTCATGAATTCTGAAACAAATTAAAGCTGTAAAGCAGCTCTACAGAAGATAATTGTGTCATAATTCAGCTCAGTTTAGTTCAATGTTGGTTCAGTTCAATAACTCAGCGTTGTAAAGTTTATCAATTATGAAATGAGTTCAGTTAAGCAGCTCTATAGAGGGCAATAATGTTCTTAGTTATTCATGTTATGCAAGTCATTTCAAATTTGATTCAGTTTAGTTAATAGTGGTGATGCTTCAAAATTAGCAAAGTTTCATTCGATAGTATCAGTGCAGTTTAATCGATAATAATATGGAATATTAATTGTCTTTTAAACCCCCAAAAAGTGGTGCTAACGGCCTTTCAAAATTACAACCTGCTTAACGTTAAAAGTGACATTAGTGTAAAAGCATATTAATGAAACAATCATAAAATGGGTTTATTGTCAAGCACTTGACTGGTAGCGGCACAGTGGCTGATAACTGGAAGGTTGTAGGTTCAATCAATTCCCACAAGAAGCAAGAGTGCGGCACTCAACCCCATCATGCTGTACAGGGGACTGTGCTTGTAATTAGTGCCCTACTAATTACTTTGAGAGAAAAGTGTCTGCCCAATTATATACTAAACAGCAATGTGTTGATGAACATCTCTTCCTCACAGAGATCTGGAATGGAAATCTGAAAGCCATCTTGGGGCTTTTTTTTAGCCTGTCTCGATACAAGCAGCAGCAGCAGCAGCAGACGACGAACAGACAGACGCACACGCAACACACACATTCACACACTCCCTTAATCCAGCAGAGCAGCACTCCGGCCCAGCTGACCTCCACTTCGCATGGGACGCACACACACAAAACACAGCCAGAGATGCAGTCCAGGTAACATCTATCTATCTATCTATCTATCTATCTATGTGTCTGTCTGTCTAGCGTTCTCATTCTATCTAATGTGCATATGTTATGGATTGTTTGTGGACTGATTTGAAGCAATCTGTCTATCTAAATGTGTCTTCATTCTCTTAGCGTTGTGATTGTGTGATGTTGTGTTAGTCATCACTGTCTGTGTTTGTCGGTCTCTCTCTTTATCTCTCTTTCTTCTCTTGTTTCTCTTCTTTCGATTTAGGGATGGCTCTCAGAGTAAACTCAAGTTTTCCATTGGTCAGAAAAAGTATTCTAGGTAGTGCTCTCACTCTCATCCTGTGCTCTCGTGTATTTCCTCTGCTGTCAACCTGCTCGTCATCACCATCCTCTTCCTCACTTACTCTCTGCATGTGATTTTGTGGTCTAATTTTACTCATGTATGTACAAGATTGTTCTGTGAAACTGGCTACTCAATACAATATCATTGTAATTAAATAGTATTAAATAATCTATATAT